TCGTGCATTTGCACATCAAAACATTTGGGAAACCCAGACATGAACTTGCTATCAGCGGCTATTTAGATCCAATTATAATGTGCAACCACACCTTTCTTAGAATAGGATTTGAGCGAAGAGGCAATGTCAAATCTAAGAATATTTCTGTATTTCAACAATACTCACATAAGGTTTGTCATTGTGCCTATTTAGCACAGCAATCGCGAAGGATGTGGCATCTGCTCTGGTTGGAATAACCGGCTTCACATAAACACCGTTATCTTGAGACTAAAATCATTGTCAGAACAATCTAGTTCAATTTCTGCTGAGTGTAAAACTTGTTCAAATGTTCACATTCAAAACTAGTCGCCCCATGATACCAAGCGGATCTTGATCTATAGCTATAACATCGCGGTTCTGCAGAATTTCTTTGAACTGTTGATCTATTGCCCGCAAATCATTCGACATTATCAATGGCGCAGACCAGATAGACCTGGGAATGGGAAGATTTGAACATTTACAATTAAAATTTCTTTCTAAAATACTTACCAAATTGATAATTGAACTTTGGCTTGATCAACGGTCAATCCAGGATTGAGACCAATAATTAACTAAATTATTTGAGTTTATGGCATCTTCTTAATGTTCATAAGCATGATTGCCTTCACCATGTCTGGATCGTGCCATCCTCCTGGGCCAGCAGCTGGGATAAGCTTATCCTGCCATTTATCGTAGAAGTTGATAATGCTCAACACCGAATGCCATGAATTGGCTACGTCGTGATAGTTACGCCAAAGATTGCACGACTGTCGAATTTGTGTGTAATTCACCTAAAATTACATGCATATATATATATATATATATATATATATATATATATATATATCATTAAAAGCTAAGTGCACCTCTAGCTGATCAGGGTACAAATATGCTGGCCATTCGCAAGAGTACATTATGGGCCTTCCAGTAACGTTTAGAGCTCTTTCCATCTCAGGGTAACCTTGACTTACCAATTAATTAA